AGGCGGCAGGCGGGAATCGAACTCATGCGGAAGTGGCTTCAGATTCTCAGTGCTGCGCTTTAACCCGCTGCGCCACCAGGGAGGGCCAACTATCGCTTAATTTTTAAGGACACCTAAACCCAAAATTTTTAAGGATATATTTTTAAGGATATATATATATATATATATATATATATATATATACACACATATATGATGAGTAAAAAATGTGTATATATATATATATATATACACAAAATGATGAGTAAAAAATGAGCAATCGCAGTAACAGACTTATCGAGATATAATTCACATACTGTAAAATTCACCCTATTAAAATGTACATTTCAGTGGTTTTTTAATATTTTCACAGAGTTGTGCAACCTCACCACTTTGTAACATCAGAATATTTCCATCACCCTAGAAAGAAACGCTGTCCTTGTTGCCTTTCTTCTCTTCCCTGACCCTAGTAGCAACCATTCATTTCCTTCTGGTTTTTGTGGACTTGCCTATATTGAACATTACATATAAATGATTTTATATAATCATATACATAGGTCATTATATAATGACTGGCTTCTTCCACTTGAACCTTAATGTTTTTAAGTGTCATCCATTTTGTGCCATGTATTAGTAATTCCTTCCTATATGGCTGACTAATTACAAATAAGATGAGCAGTTCTGTTCAGTTTGAGATAAAATTAACAATAACATCATTTAAGCTTATGATGTGCCACGTACTGATTTGTACATGTATATATTACAATGATTCCATAAAACGTTTGGTTAACATTCACCATCTCACATAGCTTTTCTCATAAGAGCTTTTAAAATCTACTCTTAGCACAAGAGACTTTGTTGACAGCTGCTCTCTTGGCAGTGATAATTTTATGGGGATTGGTGGGGATAATTTTATGGGGATTACACTTGAAAAGAGAATAAACAGCAATATAAAACATACATTAAAAAAAATTAACTCCTTTAATCAGTTTAAAATATATAGTATAATATTGTTAACTGTAGTCACCATGCCATGAATTATATCCCTAGAATTTACTTATTTTATAACTAGATGTTTGTACCTTTTGATCATCACCTTCACTCATTTTGCCTGTCCCCACCGATTTTTAAACATGTAATTTTGTTTTTCACTTTCCCAAGACGTGTATTGACATGTTGAAAATAAACAAAGCGTCCCATGCCATACAGGATACCATCTTCCAGAAATCTTTATTCTTACTCTGTCAGACTCACTAGCCAGATAGTTTCTCTGAGAACAGCATTAAGAATACCAAAGAAAAAGTTTGAATACTAAAAAATCATGTCCTCATTCATATGTTAGTATGTGTGTTTGTGTGTATTTCAACTCTCCATGGACTTAAAATATTTATGTGCTGCCATCCCAGATACTTGTGAAGTGCTATGCAGGAACACAGAAAATTGGGTTGTCAGTGAGCCATCACATTGCATTAGCTGGACTAGTTTTAAAAATACACAATTTTTTCTCTGATTGTTGGTCAACAGCCTCTCTCAAGCCTCCAGTGTCCATTTATGCCCCAATGCCTTCTCCAGCCCCTCATATCTCAACATTTAAAGGAGGAGATAACTGTAGGCAAAGCAGAATTACAGTCAACAGCAGTGGTTAAATGTTAAAATTATGACTGTTACTTCAGCAAGAGTTGAAGATTTTTGCAGAGTTAAAGGATCATTGGATTAAGAGACCTGAGCCCTAGTCATTGCTTTGTCACTAGCTAATTATATGGTATGGGTTAAGCCATGCTACACCTCTGTGTCCACAATTATAAAATCCTGAGAGTAATAAATACCCTACCTAACTCCATAGTTATCACTACTTGAGCTGACCTTTTTGTAAGAATATTTTCAAACTAAATAAATACTGACATAATGTAAAAGATTATATTCAGTTTCACTACCTACCTTGTAAAAAATCTTACTAAAAATATTATGGTTGTTATGTAATGGGAATTTTTTTATTATTTACTTTTATTTTGCTCTTATGATCATATTAGGTGTTTATCAGATCAGCAAACAAATCAAAGCTCATGATGGCAGTGTATTCACACTTTGTCAGATGAGGAATGGGATGTTATTAACTGGAGGAGGGAAAGACAGAAAAATAATTCTGTGGGATCATGTTCTGAATCCAGAAAGAGAAATAGAGGTAAGGATGAAAGCAGGATAAAAAGATTTAAAAACACTCTAAACTGAGGTATTTTTTTTTCACATGAATATAACTTAATACTTTTCTGAGACATTGGTGCACATTTTTGTCATTTCCTCCAAAAAACAAAACAAAACAAGAGCAGATCATTTATTAAAATAATTTGAAAGAATAAAAAGATGAGACAGTAATTGCTGGTCTACCTCTGATATGTCTTTTAGTAATGAAAGTATATAATCATGCAAATTTAAAATTCAGTATATATGCATCAAATAGTCTAGCTCCACCAGACACAAAATAACCAGTTTACTTTGTACAACTTGAAAACAATCTTTTATTTTGAACAGTGAGCATAGTCAGTAATTACCTGTGTATCTTCTTTATGGAATGGATCAAGTGTGTCCATAAAACCTATGTGTACTTTGTGCACAAAGTTTGGTAATAATATTGAGATCTCAAGAAATGAAGTGCTTAAATGTAGTTTTTTGTTGTTGTTTTTTTTTTTTTAAATCATTGCTCAAAGCAAAAGCAAATGTCACGGAGTTTGACATTATTTTTGTTTTGGGTGATTAAAATTTTGAATTGTTGCTCTGTGTTCTCTATACAAGTAATAAGTTTTCCAAACAAAATCATCTCAAAATAAGAGGATTCTCTTGGGCTTTATTTCCAAGAAAACAAAGAGTTACTTTATTATAACCTTAAATTCATGGTGTTACTTAAAAAGAAATATGACTTCCTGTACCATTTCATAATTCATGTCCTTTGTTATCAAAATCTGACCCATCTAGGTTACTCCTCCCATTGCCATTTCTAACATAATCATGGATTTTATTTTCTTCATTTTGAATTTCAGAAAGTAAATTCTTTGGAATCATTGTATTATTAATATAGCACTTACTATTATATTAATAAAAACATATCTCCATGCTTTAAATGGAATTATTCTGCCAGGGCATATTAGTAATGACAGTTGTGAAACTACAGTATAGTTATACAATATAGCTTTTTAGTTTACAAACAAATTTCATCTACAATTACTTTTAATTTTTGTTCCTTATAACAATCAATGGTACATTGGCATGTATTTTCTCCATTTATGGGTTTAAAAAATTATCTTTGATAAAATAACATAACTAGTAAGCTAAAACTAATAGCAAAGTGACTAGTAAGTAACAAAACCAGAGCACATCTTCATGTGATTGAATAGGATTACACCTTTCTCCCTGCTACTATCCCTAAGTCTTGAAATCAAGTAATCTATAAATTTTACATTGACTTAAGGAAAGAATGTTGATAATGTATTATAGTGTATGTGTAATAAAATGTAATTATCTGGAACATTAAATTATTAACATAAGATTAGTTTTCAAATTTGGAATTTTGTCATTACTTCACAGTTGCTTACAACTGTAGGTTCCATCTGCAAGTAGTAATTAATGCATGTTAGTATGTGTATGGTGACTTTAAAATTTTACGTGTTTTTAGGTTCCTGATCAATATGGAACAATCAGAGCTGTAGCAGAAGGAAAGGCAGATCAATTTTTAGTAGGCACTTCAAGAAACTTTATTTTGCGGGCAACATTTAATGATGGCTTCCAAATAGAAGTACAGGTAATGATATGATTTTATCTACTAACAAATACTATTTTTAGTGATAACCTTTGTTTAGTAAATCATAGGTGTATTTTATTTTCAGGGTCATACTGATGAGCTTTGGGGTCTTGCCACACATCCCTTCAAAGATTTGCTCTTGACGTGTGCTCAGGACAGACAAGTGTGCATGTGGAACTCAGTGGAACACAGGCTGGAGTGGACCAGGCTTGTAGATGTAAGTAAAGCAAAGTCTAAATATAACCCCTATGGAAACTCCCCAAAGGGATGGTTGGGAGCAGCAAGAAAAGGGGACTATTTGTTTAGTCTATTAAAGAGACTTGGGGTTAAGAGGAAAGTGTTTAGTCATAGAGTATAACTTGAATCATTCTAAAGAAGCACGGCAGAAGCTCAATTTTCCTGTCAGATTCAGAAATAAAAAGATTTCACATATTTTTGGAGCATTCGTTGTCACAGAAAAGTTTGGTCTCTGGTTGGATTGCTGTATGCTGCTCACTCACAGACTCTACCATCTTCTTTTTTGAGTTGGTCTCTTACTGTATTTTTTCCGTACTCCACCCAGATGTCCACCTTTTCTGCCCCAAAGGTGCATATACAGGTCTTTGCAGACCCTATAGTCATGTGTAGATATTCACTATTATCTTGATTGTTGTTCCACTGCCTAGCCACAGCTGGCTGTCATTTCCACCACTCTGCCAGCATACCCCCTTCCTGCTCTGGAATTCTTTTCCCTCTTACACCCCTGTGGTATTCCATATTGGCTGTAGTCACATCGACTAGGATTCCAAGTTTATATGAAACAAGCTGTTTTCAAATATGTTTTTGTCACTATTCCCATAGATATAGGGAGAATTTCTCATGTACTCCCCAACAGCTGTCTGTCTCTCTTCTAGGAACCAGGACACTGTGCTGATTTTCATCCAAGTGGCACAGTGGTGGCCATAGGAACGCACTCAGGCAGGTAGGGTCTTTAAGGGAAATGTAAGCTGAGTCATCAGCAACGGTGGGGTGTTTAACCATTATTCAGGAATGTTCTCAGTCTAGAGTGTTGATCTCTTTAAGTAGCACGCTAAAACACGTGTTACTCTTTTCTATTATTTGTACTCATTCAGCCACTCAGTCATTATTGAATTGAACACCTCCTATTTGTTTGACTCTGTTTGGGTGTTCAGGCTACATCAGTTTACAAAACAAAAATCCCTGCCCTTGTAGAATACACATTTCAGTGTGTGGGGGTATGGAGGCAGAATTAAAAATAATCATTATAAAAAATTACAATAAAAATGTGATGAGTGGAGGATGGAAAGGTTGAAAATAAAAAGTGGGCATGGAAAGGGGGAGGTGTAGCTGCAAAATTATAAATAGGGAGGTTGGTGTTGGCTTTATTATGAAAGCAAAAATTCAGCACACTTGGCTCTTTGTGAAATATTCTGTGATATCAGAAAACTACTCTCATCTTTTATAAAGGGAACTAAAATTGAAATAACCAAGTGAGCTTTTATATGTCATTTTGTGCTATGTTTTGTCACACTGCTATTCTGAAGGCCACACAGATAATGAAGACAGAGTAAATACATTTCCTCAACTTGTTATTGTCTTTGCATACCTTGTATAGTCCCTTTCCAAGCTTAAGTAACATTTATTAGCTGTATTTTTTTTTGTGACTAATTTTTTTTAACTTTATAATAGTTTATTTTTACATACTTTTGTGCATTTTTCCATCTCAGTTACAATCCCCTTGGGTTTCCCGTCACCAAATCACCCATCTGTCATCACCATAATCCAGTGCATTTCCCTCCCCCCACTATTTTTGATCCCATTCCCCACTCCGCCCCCACAAAATGTCTGGTATATAGCTGTTCATCATTATCATTATTTTCTCGCCTGTTCTGTTATATTCCTGCTATGAGTGAAACCATCCGGTATTTTTCCTTTTCTTTTTGGCTTATTTCACTAAGAATGATCTTTTCCAGCTCCTTCCATGTTGCTGCAAAAGACATGTGTTTCTTTTTTTTTTTGGGTTGCTGAGTAATATTCCATTGTGTATATATGTACCACATCTTTTTAATCCAGTCATCCATTTTTGGGCATGTCTTTCCAATTGTGAATAAAGCAGCAGTAAACATGGGGGAGAAGGTATCTTTTTGAATCAGTGTTTTTGTGTCTTTTGGGTAGATACCTAAGAGTGGGATTGCTGGGTCGTAGGGAAGCTCCAAGTTAGCAGTTTGAGGAACCTCCAAAGAGTTTTCCATAGTGGTTGTACTAGTTTGCATTCCCACCAGCAATACAGGAGAGTTCCTTTCTCTCCACATCCTTGCCAACATTTGTTGTAGCTAGTTGTTTTAAGATGTGCCATTCTCACTGGAGTGAGGTGGTATCTCATTGTGGTTTTAAATTTGCATCTCCCTTATTACAAGTGATATTGAACACTTTTTTATATGCTTGTTGGCCATCTGTATTTCCTCTTTGGAGAAGTATCTTTTTAGCTCTTCTGCCCATTTTTTGATGGGGTTTATTTTTGTTGAGTTTCATCAGTTCTCCGTAACTTTATCAATCCTTTATCTCTAGTTTTGTGTGAGAAATTTTTTTCCCAATCAGTGGGATGTCTGTTTGTTTTTTGTAATGTCTCTTTTGCTGTACAGAAGCTCTTCAACTTGATGTAGTCCCATCTATTTATCCTTGCCTTCACTATCATTGCATTGGGTGCTCTATCTTTAAAGACATCATTGAAGTGTATGTCGTGTGGTGTTTGGCCCATCTTTGCTTCCAGGTATTTTATGTCTAGGTTTCCATTCTTATGTCTAGGTCTTTAATCCACTTTGAATTGATTTTTGTGTATGGTGAAAGGTAGTGATCTAGTTTCATTTTTTTGAATGTAGCTTCCCAGTTTTCCCAGCACCATTTGCTGAACAAACTTTCTTTGTTCCATTGTATCTTCTTTGCTCCTTTGTCCAAGATTTAGCTGTATATTTTTAATTGATTCCTTTCAGTTATCTCTGTAAGTTCACCTAATCATAAATTCTTCTGTAAAGATTCAAAGGAAAAATAATGAAGTCAGTTTCCAAAAGTAATTCCATAGAAATTGTGGCATGCTAACCTCTAATGAGGTATAGCTATTATGAAAACATAAGAATACATTTTTGTTGACTTAATTTCAAATCCATTCATATTTAATTCTAAGCTTGGTCATTTGGTTGTGTTTTTTGTTTTGTTTTCTTTTCTTTTTTTTGGTAGCAAATTGTTGGACACAAATTAACAACTCTGGAAAGTCAAAACATTCTACCTCATCTACTGCTAGAAAATCTGCCAGAATAGTAGAGAAAAAAAGGTTTTAATGAAAGATTTACTTAAAGATGGGTATTGTATCTGTCTTTGAGTAGGTATATGTCTTTTTATTGTTGGGTTACAAGAATTTATATGTTCTGTATATAGTACCTTATTCAAATAATATGATTTGCAAAACCCTGGAAGGGTTGTCTTTTCATTTCTTGATAACATTTATGACCTGAAAGTTGAAAATTTTCATATAGTCCAGTCTATACTTTCTCTTGTTTCTGAATCATAAAGATTTCTCCTGTTTTCTTCTAAGAATTTTAGTTTTAGCTCTTTTTTTAAAAAAAAAAGATTTATTTATTCATACAGAACTGGGGTACAGGCCAGAGATGCGGAGGGTGAGAGGGTTCACCAGAGACAGAGTGGGGTACAGAACAGGCAGATCGACGAAGTACACTGCTGAGGGGAGCAGCGGGGGGGCCAGGAGAGGTCTGCCTCGCCATGTGGATCTCCTCCGGGGCAGGCGGGAATCGAACTCATGAGGAAGTGGCTTAAGCTTCTTAGTGCTGTGCTTTAACCCGCTGCGCCACCAGGGAGGGCCAAGTTTTAGCTCTTTTTAATAAGTCTCTGACTCATCTTAAGTTAATCCTTATATGTGTTGTGAGGGAGATGTAGAACTTCATTCATTTGCAAGTGGATAGCCAGTTTTTATAAAAGCACCATTTGTAGAAAAGACGAATAGAATTGACATCCTTGTTAGAAATCAGTTTATCATAGGCATATAGGTTTCTGTCTGCATTCTCATTTCTGCCTTACTGATATATATGTCTATCTTTATGCTATTTCCAGAGTCTTGACTACAGTAATTTTGTGGTAAGTTTTGAAATCAGAAGTGTGGGTCCTCCAGCTTTGTTCTCAAGGTTGTTTCAAAATCCCTTGAATTTCCACAAGAATTTAAGATTAACCACAAAGAATTTCTGTACCTGGCATTTTACAGGAAGGCCCCTTTCTCTATAACTTTTCTAGGGACAGAGGTCCTGAGCTCAAGTTTTTTTCTGAAAGTAGGACATAATTCATGCAGTGAAAATGGTGGGAGCTTTAAAATTGTTAGGGCCCTCCCTTGTGGCACAAGGTGTTAAAAGCACAGCACTATGAAGCTGTCTGCAGCCACTGCAGCACAAGTTCGATCCCTGGCCAGGGAGGTGAACTGCATGGTGCACAAGCCTCTCCTGACCCGCCTGTTCTGCTCCCCTTTCTGTCTCTGGTGAATCCTCTTATTCCTCACTCCACCCCACCCCACCTCCCTGCACCTCTGGCCTATACCCCAATTCTTGTATACATAAGTAAATAAATCATTAAAAAATATATTGTTAGAGGTTCAGGTGGAAGTTTGTATACTTTTAATTGCAAAGTTACTAAATTATTGCTAAAATTTGTCAAAAGTAGACTTGATCTGTTGTGTAATTAAGTAGAACAAGTAAGCAAGTTTTTGTATCTGCCATTACTAACCAGTAAACAAATAAGAGTTTAGGTTTCTGTGTGTTAATATGAACAAACCTATGGTTTTTCATTACTTTTAAAAGGCATTTCCAAAGACATAAAGTTTTCTGCAGTTATCCTAGGAATGAAACTGGATTGATTTAGAAACAGTCATTTGAAAGTGTCAATTGGAACTTCTCCAAACTAAAAATTTGTAGTTTGTGAGTGGCTAGCAAGTTAAAGTTTCTATAACCTTATTAAAAACTTGAGGCCTGACACCTAAGAGTGGTACTTGATTGCACTGTGCTTTAGATGTGTCCATTCAGTGTAGGTTGGAATATTTTGTTCCATTTATCAAGTCAGTTCATTTGGCATCAGTTTTGGCATATCTTGGCTCAGGAGTTTCATTAAACCATAAAAATTGGTTAATGAATTAATTCTCAGAAGAAAACCATACAATCTGTGGTTACTGTCCAATTGCAGTAAATTATGTTTATTATGCGCCTTTTGAAATGGAGATAAATGATCGTGAAAGATGTAGCATAGGGATTCAAAGCCAGTTTCCTGATGATTGACCTTCAAATTCAAATATTCACAAATAGCTATTCCTCTTATCTGAATAGAAGACAGAATTAACAAACTAGGTTAATTACTTGAAAATTTTCAACATATAGCTTATAAGTTACTGAAATTCACTCATGATTGCTTACCTAGAAAGGAATTTCTTTAGTAGGTAAAGATGGGATTCTTTTAGTGCTTCATCTGTCTTCAATACATTAAGGCATGTTAAGCAGTATCATTCAACATTATTTAAAAAGTCTTTCTAGTCCTTTCCTAAATAGTATTTTGTAAAGCAAAGGGAAATGGCCCCTTTATAGATATTAGTTAGAAGGTCAATGATTCTTTTATTGGCTTATTTTCAGTGATTAAAAATTTGCCCATCTGAATGGTTGAAAACTTGATGCTTTTGATGTATCATCCAGTTACATGATGTTAAGATGACTATTTATCTATTCTAATCCCATTCTTGCCACCCCAGCAATTTCTTCCTATGCACTGTTAAATAATTCTTGCTAAAGCTGGCTTTGTCATGTTCAAGATTTTCTATTTGTTCATTTATTCATTCTACAGATATTTAGTGCTTAATTGGAGCCAACCAGCTCCACATGTTGTCTGTGACCCGCCTTCCTCTCCTCTATCCAACCTTTTCTTGTCCTTGCAAAGTTCTCGGTCTTTGCTTTATATGCCCCCTTTGTAGCACCGTTCCTTGAAATGCTCTTAGAAGACTTTCTCATAATAGTCAGTTATTATGTTGTTGTATTTAATTCATTGTTTGACCTCTTACGAGGATTTGTGCTTTAACTTTTCCCATAAACATGAATTAAAAATCTTTAAAAGAATTTAGAACTTCTGATGCAGTTGTTAAAGGCACTAAAAAGGCAAGAGTACTCCTTGCAGTTCATCTTCATACTGTCTGCCATTTCTCACCTCCACAGCTGTGCAGCTGTCGCTCCTGCCTGAACTGCCATGCTACTGCTCTCCCTCAGTGTTCAGTACAGCCCCTGTCCTTCATCTTCCCTAACATTTCTTCTGTATCTCCTGTCATTCATTTTCTTTCTGTATGTAGCTACCATCTTGGAGACTGTCACTTAGATTCTAGTGTAATTTTCAAAAGTATTGATCCTATCATTTTCCAGTGAGACTTTGCTAGCAAGACACAGTTAGCATTCAGGGAATATCTAAACAAGAAGTAACAACATGCCTAGGGCCATCTATTTACATTGTATCTAGCAACATTTTACGAAGTGAAGTCATCCTTCATTAGAAGAGGGAAATTTGTCATACTTAGTTTACTCTTAAAATTTCTGCAATTTCTCATTAATCGTCTTAAAAGATTTAAAATTTAAGAAGGGAAAAAATATCAGCCACCACTATTTTCTGTAAGTGCTGTATCTAAAGATGTTTTGGTTTTTACCCTTTTTTTTGAACAAGATTAATTCTTTATTGTGACAAAATATACATAACATAAAAGGTTTTTACTTCTTAACAGGTGGTTTGTCCTAGATGCAGAAACTAGAGACCTAGTTTCTATCCACACAGATGGAAATGAGCAGCTCTCTGTGATGCGATACTCCTTAGGTAAGCAAACATACTCCCACCCTGGCATTCATAGCACTTTTCTGACATTGCATGTTTTCACTTCCAATAAAGTTGACTGTTGTTGAATATGTTTCTCCCAACAAGGGATTAAATGCCTCTTCAGGAAACTGCATAATATCTGCTAAAGTTAAAATAACATTGTAAATCATGAAGCAAATTTAGAACTATTACACTGCATTTACAGTTGGAAGCAGAATACTAAACAATCAACTTCCTTTTTTAATTTGGAATTGCAGATGCTTATAATTTTGAGTGTTAGGCTGAAGTCTTAATGTTACATATGTACTTAGCAACCTTCCTTTGTATATAAGAAAAAAAATTATAATTGTTTGCAAAATACAAAGTTTCAGTTCTCTGGAATCTCATTACATCCTTTACTGGTTACATATTAGTGAGTGATTTTTTTAATTAAATAAATTACTCAACAGCTCATTAAATTGATAAATCCCTTTAGCTTTGTGTGAATAATTCTTTGTGCTTTATTCAAAGTGTTCATTGTTTCTACAACAGTCTAATTCCCTTTTCCAACTATTAATATTGTTTTGATATGCATCATTCTTCCCTGGAGTTAGCCTGATTCATGATTACTTATATTTGAAAATAGAATCCCAGAATTGTTAGATCTGTGTGGGGTCCAGAGAATCTTTTTACTACTTCTAACTTGTTTCAACGGAAAGAATACTATTCTCTGGAGGAGAAGGAAACCTTACTTGTTCAAGCTAGAAACCTAAAGAGTTACAGAAGCATTTTTCTGTTTCGGTTTTTGGTTCTTGGTGGTTGTTTTGGTTCTTGGTGGCTGTTTTGTAATAGCAAATAACTTCTACAGATGTAGCAGTTAAAATCCAAAGATCAAATGTACTTTATGATCATCTGCTATACAGTATGTACAATGGAGGAGGTCATAAAGGAAAAGAATGTGGTTCCTTCTCAAGATAACCTCCCCTGTAGTTGAAGAGATCATATGTGCTCAAGACTTGAACACTTAGCTTGTCATTTGAATACTGTATCCCTAAAGCCGTAAGAGCAGGTTAACTTACCTTGGTTCCGTTTTTTAGCAAACTAGACTAGTTGAGGGCAGAACCTTTGGGCCATGGGAATCTCTACAAAGGGATTATACAGATGACCAGAAGTTTTTCTGATATGATTTGTCATAGGATTCGTTTATCCAATGCCAGCCAAAGTTACTCTGATGAGATTTAACAACACTGATAAAGTACACATTCTGCATAGGTCCAATAAATAACTGTTGATAAATATTGAAGATAATACCTCTACCAGTATATTTCTGGTCCACACTTTTAACACTTTCCTGTTTCAATCTAGATGGCACCCTGCTGGCTGTAGGCTCTCATGACAACTTTATTTACCTCTATGCAGTCTCAGAAAATGGAAGAAAATATAGCAGATATGGAAAGTGCACTGTAAGTATTGAAGTAAAATGAAGTTGTAATAATTTCAGAAAGTTTAATTTCTGTTAAAAAGAGAGTTAAAGTTTATATTAGCATATCTGTTATTTTCTATCCTTAATTGCATTAAATTTTAATCTTGCCTTTTGAAAACTGACATTACTGAACAGCAAAATGTTCATGGTATGCTCTAAAGATGCCTCTAAAGATGTTTCTCCTTTTGAAACAAATTTAATATTACTCTCTTTACTTTCTTGACAAATTTTTAAGGTGGTTTCTTAAATCAGCTATTTCCATAGAAAATTTAGACCGACACTTTGAAAATGGAGTCAGACCAGAAGTGAAAGGTTATCTCACTTTTAATATATCATACCATGTTCCTGATTATTGCCAGTAATTTCCTTTACCACCTGCCACTAAAAGTAACATAATTTATATGGAGATTTGTCTGCATTATGAGAATTAACAGAAGCATTTAATTTGTTACCTATTTCTGATTGATAGATCAGATTTATTATTGCAATGTGAATTAGATTCAGTTCTATAAACATACTGACCACTGAAGGCAGATATTATGCTATCTACAGAAAAGACCTAGGCACTGGCAATGCATGAATTTGTCCTTTTCCTGAGAAAAGTGCACATTAGAGCTTGAGGAGATGAGAAAGGCAGCTGGGCATATGGTGAAGTACACATACTTGGGATCAGACTACCTGGATTTAAATTCTTATTTTACCACTTACAAGCACTTAAACCTCCTTTATCAGTGTTTTCACCTATAAAGTAAGGATAGTGATAATTTCTGCCTCCTGAATTAAAATGAATTAATGCATATAAAATACTTAACAGTTTTATATAGAACAGTATTTGGCACATAATACATAGTATTCAACCTGTAAACTCCTATTGAAAATGTGGTAGCTTGTTATGTATGTATGTTAGGAAGTTAATTTAGAATTGGCAAATTGTGATGAATTATTAGCACAAATACTTTAAAAGTCTTTATCACAAAATGATTTTTAAGGAAAAACTAAACATAAATAAAATATTAAAAATAAAATGTAGGTCATTTATTTGAAAAAGACACTTTTTCAATATGGAAAGTGCACTGTACTTTCCATAGGATTCGTTTATCCAATGCCAGCCAAAGTTACTCTGATGAGAGTAACTTTTTTGTTTGTTTTTTTTGTTGCATATTTTGTATCATATGCTAAAACCAGCCTATAAACTTTTGTTTGCCTAAGCTACACTTATGAATCATTATCCATCAGTTTATTTAAATCCATCCATCTTTTAGGTGATTTTTCTTAATATTTGTGATATGAAATAGTGTAGTAGTATCTCATTGTGTATGTAACATGATCAAATAAAATGT